GGGTCTCGCGTGGGGAGGAAGCGTGCTGCTCACTCTTTGTCGCTCAATTGTGTGTGCGGCTGGGTGGATGTCATCGGATGCATCGAATGACTCGATTGACTCGGTTGATTGTCACAGTGGCGCCGTCATTGCAGCGCGAGCGACAGAATGCTCTTCCGTTTACATTGTGATTCAAGCTTCCGAAGCAAAACCCGTCTCTCGTCAGAAATCACCATGGAGAATGGTCAATATCAGAGGATGACCATCAAAATGTCTGTATTTCTCCATTGATTCACTGTTTCATCGGTCCGCTCTTTCACAGAGGGGTGCTTCATTTTCTTGCGGTCATTTTGAGCCACGAGTGGTCGGCCCGAATGGCTGATTTGAGTCTCTTTGTGAGGTGATTGGTTTATGCGGTTCATTTTGACTGTGTACAGAGTGATCGGGGCGGGGTGATTGCTTTACAGAAATGATTGGTTTATGCGGTGATTGCTTTAAGCGATACTTACTGAACCGAGTTTCCCATATATCCGAGGTCCCATTTATGCGAGGCAATTCACACGCCCTCTGCTTGTCTGTCTGAGTCACAGGGCATCCCAGCAGGCCACCTGACTCGCCTGGTGTCGAGCTTGGCCCGGAAAAAAGAAAACAAGCAACCCGGCCGGCGGCGAGGACGAGGAGAGCGAGCAAAGCAGTTGCTTGAGCGTTGCTTGGGCGCGACAGACAAGTGGGAGTGATTCACTGGCGAATGAGTGATGGAATGCGACGAGCTATCGACAGATCGAGTGATGAAATGTCCAAAAACACGCATGACTCATGCAGAGACAGTCACTCCCACACCAACACACCTCAATCGATATCTACGTTCACCTGCTCACCACTATCCTCCTCTGCCATAGCCTGCTCGGCACTCATCTCTCGCTCCATCTCACTTAAGAATGATGAATGACTCACTCATTCTTCTCAAATCACTCAATGAATGATTCGCCGTCGAAAGCTTGAAGGTCGAACAACTTGGAAAAGTGAGGAGAGGCGGAGAGGCTCTCGAGAGAAGCACTCCTCACTCCACGTTGCGGAGAGGCTGCTCGTCTAACAATGGTTGTCGACTCGTTGCTTTACTGCAAATGCTTCCCAGTGCTCTTTGGAGAGCCACTCATGCTGCTCCGCAGCTTGTTTGCCTCGCTGCTTCTGTCGTGCTCGCTGGGCCCGCTTTGGCGGCCCCGATCTCGCTTGCTTGTGGGTGTTTGACGGTGAAATTTGGTTCACAGTGATCAGTGAGGCACGCTGGACCACATGCAGGTCATGGCGACGGCTCACAATGACAGTCAACACCGGCTTGTAAAATGCACAACATTAACACCGGATAAATAGATTTTTCCTATTTAACGAATGATTCGTCGCATGAGTCTAACACAATGAATGATTGATGTGAATTACCATATGTGACACCTGGCGAATTAACACAATGAATGAATGTCACCAGCTGAAAAGCGCACAACATGTACATCGGTTATGGGACATTTCGCATATGACGATTTTCCCATATAACCAGGGTCCCATTTATCCGAGGCCCACTGTATTCGATATAGTCGTCGTCCCCGTTTGCAAGAGTGCAAGAGTGACACAGCGTCACTTTGCACAGCCAATACAACCTTCCTCAGCAATGCAGCGCTCAAAAGCAGCAGGCTGGCGGGTGGGGAACGGCGGAGGAGCGGCGGGAACAACTTGAAGGAAGACTCGGACACTGCGGGCGGAGCGTCTCCGCCCCCACAGGCCCCCATACATAGCGCAACCCCGAACAGCTGGCGTGCCGAGGAACGGCTGGCGAACTAGCGTCTTTGCCCCTACAGGCCCCCACACAGGCGAGGAAGGAAGCAACGAGGAGTCTGCCGCAATGTGTGAAGGCTTTCGGCGCAGTGGCTCTCCCGGAGGCTCAGCCTCTCCGACCGTGCCTCGGCTGGACCTGCACGGTGACCGCCGACGAAGCTCACAGCCGAAGTCGTCCCGCGGCTCAGATGACGCCATGTCCTCGCGTGTGCAGCGCCTTGAATCGGCGTCTAGAAGACTGCTGGAGATGGGCGACACTGCGATGGCTGACCTGGTTATCAACCGGCAGATGACGAAGCAGGTGTGGTCTTCGAGAGAGAGCCGAGAGGATGTGTCGGAGGATCGACAAGGGCTACCTCTGCGCGCCGGGAGTCTGCCCCTGCTCGACGACGCCTCGCACGAGCAGGACAGCGGCTTGTCTTCGCGTGGCATCGGAGCGTACCTGATGGACGATCTCCACAAGTCCGAGCTTATCGCCGATCAATCTCTCGAGCGGTCTCAGCGCATGCTGCAGCAGCTGCTGCTGAGGAACCGGCTGCAGTTCTGGGCCAGGACGGCCGACCGCCTTGACGAGCAGGAATCCATCCGGTCCCCGCGGTCGGCCCCCTCGCAGCGCTCGTCGATTCGCAAGATGCACACCTCTGCTTCCCTGGCCGGCGACATGACGACACATCATGTCAGTTACGGAATCTCGGTCAGCAATGGCGATCCACGTGCAAATCGGTGGTCTGCTGACTTGACACGGAACAGCCACGCCTGTCGCCGTGAACATCGACGTGTCTCGTCCAATAATGAGGCGACACGAGCAGGTCCAGGGGAGGACGTCTGGGTACAGCGAGACCACCCTGCGGACTACGGAAGCCTCTTGCAGGACGACCGGTATCGTGGAATGATATCTGGGCAGCAACGCCAGGAAGGAGGAGAGGATGAAAGAGACAGCGAGATCTTGAGCTTACGGCAGGCCCTCCAGGTTGGGTCACACGTGACTGGACATGAAGGTCCCACTCTTTCGCTGTCCTTCTCTGTGTTGTTGCTTCCTCATCGACCGTCACTCGTGGTCACACGTGCAGGCCGAGAGAGCAATGGTGAAGGAGTTGAGGCTAGAGTTAGAAGCGATCCAACATCTGAGGGCCAAGGTGCCGGAAAAGAGGACACTTGATGCTTCTACTCAGACCCATGGCCATGTCTCACCTGCTACGACGCCTGACAATCGGGGGTTGGAAATCGTGACCAAGGATGAGCCTGTGTGCAGGTCTGTACTTCGCGAATGATTGAGCCTGCACTGCAACACATCCAAACATATTGTTCAATGTCCTATTGTCTATTTCAGTTCATACCAAGGCCATGGACACGAGCCACCGAGGTCCGCGAGCCCCGAGTCAGCAGAAGGACAGCTGAAGAGGGGGCATAGGATCCACCGGCACACCATTGCCGATTCCCCGACAGCACGAAAGAAGCGGTGAGCAGACTGTAAACTCTTGCACTCTTTGATCATTTCGCCTGTGTGGCCCGATCGATCAGCGATGTGCAACTGCCGATGAGCCTGTGTGAGGAGATCAGCAAGGAGATAAGGAACCTCAGCGTGTCCATCAAGAGCCCTCCACACGCTGACAAGCCACGGCCGCTTACCATCGTCTGACGAAAGAAGCAACCGCATAGGGATGACTCGATGTTTGGCTGTCTTTTTTGTGTGTGCGTGTTGCCTTGCCTCTTCTGTGCTCACTCCTCGAGGAGTGTGCTCAGAATGCATGTGTGGATGAGCGCCCACGTGACAGAGACACGACTCCCGACTTAATTGATCAAATTTTACCGTTCGCGGATCCGCTCATCCGTCCTCCCCCAGGGGCTACGGTCTCATCCGTCCTCCCCCAGGAGCTACGGTCTCGGATGAGACGAACATTGGCGGGACCTGTACAGGTCTGTGAATATAGTGTCGAGCCCTCCGAGTAACGCACGAAAGCCAATTATTAGACGCTGTTGATCGGGCATCTTCCGGGCATTGTATTGGTATTTGCCGTTAACGTACTTCCACACTAGAGAAGATAGAAAAACAAAAAGTAAAAAAACAAAAAAATGGCATTTGCCGAGACGACATGCAGGTGAGAAAAATCATTCAAGGCACATACTCGCGACGGCAATTGGCCATGGCTCATGGGACTGTATTGTCTGGGTGCCATGGACAGATCGTTACGGTGTTGTCATGCGTTCGTGTCGACTTCATGAGAAAGGGAGTGTAACTACTTGTCAACCCTCAGTAGTGTTGTTTCCTGGTAGTCCCTCGTATGAGCAATCACTTTGAAACCAAATTCATCATCAAGCTTCTTCAACAGCTTAAGAGTGCGTCCGACCCCTTCCTCAAAAAACCGATGATGCCATTCGACCAACAGTTGTGATGTAGATTTGAGAACGTCTCCATCTTCGATTAGTTTCTCGAAGACATCAAACTCCCAGCGCTCGATGTCCATCTTTAGAACGTCTGGACTCCGATCGTGTCCGCATTTGTGGATCATCGCTTTTAAATCTAAAAAGTCGACTTCAATAGTTTGTTTACTGGTCAAAAAAGTGAATCTTCCCTTAAGACCCTGAAGACTCCCTTTTTCGGGCACGAGATTTTCACCAGTTTTCTTCTTTGTGACAAGATCCATTGGGCCACTCTCGGGACCAAGGCCGACCGAAAAGAAAGAAGAAAGCGGTCACGAGGCAGCGCTCCTCTTTTGATGCGTCGCTGAACATAGGCTTTGGAAGTTGGTGTCGGGTCAAATCCATAAACTTCAGCTTTCTCGAAGCGCTCCAGTATTTCTTCGTCGAAAGAAGTATCATCAGCTGAAACAACACTTCTTTCAAGAATCTATTCAAAAGGTCGCTCGGTCACTTACCAAGACCAATGCTGTATACCACAAAAGGGCCGTCAAGTCTGTCATCCGCCGTGCGAATCTCCCATCCGCCCTCACTGCTGCCAAGCCTCTCGATCGCTCCTTTGCACGGAGACCCCTTCGATCCTGGACAAACGACAGGAGAGGATGATCATATCGCCACGGACACACGGACGCACATAGTAAGGTTCTCGCCTCAGCCAAATGTATATGTACGACTTCCAACACGTGGGATTCGTACATGGTTCTGACCTGCGAGAGCCTCCACGAGTAGCGCCGCCAAGACGACAAGGCCGACGACGCTCATAGCGACCGTGTGTACGTGGATAAGTGGGACCCGTATAGGTAGGGAAAAACGTAAATGGGATTGTTTACACAGTTGTAAAAATGGGAATCCGCACGCACACAACTTGTAAATCCAACGATGCGAATCAGAGAGGGAGGGATACAGAGACAAAGACATTGGCACGTGTGCCATGACTGCTGTGTCTCGACATCCATGCCGATGTGGGTGCCGAAGGCGAAGTCACACAACCCACCCGAGTACCAAATCGACAAAGCAAGAGCCTGATCGGCGTCCGTGTGTTTTTTTTTGCCTGCATGAATGCGTGCAGTGGTGCCGCGGCTGTGCAACACGAGATTGAGGTTGAGCAGGAGAGAGCCCGACTCATGCAGCAGATGCAAGACATCAAGAACCGATACGCTCGCATTGCCAACTTCCATCTCCTTTATGTACCATGTCTCTCCTTGTTCTCTCCATCAGACTGTCCGCGCTCACCCCTCCCCGGCCCCCCACGGCCACGCCACCGCCATGTTCATGCCCTGCAGACATATGATCCTCAGCACACGCAGTGAGGGCCAGCCAGGCGGTCATGCGCGGTGAGGAGGAGCCGGTGTCCATCGCATCCCCTCATGCGCACGGCCGGAGTGGCTGCTGATGAATGGTGAAGACCACAAGACGAACCATTGACAAATCCTAGTCTAAGGAAGAAAGTCCTCAAAACAGGGAAGAACATAACTCACTGATAGCTCAATGTCAACAAATACTCAGAAACCCACACGCACACCACAGGGTAACCCCATCTGGCACATCACTGGTTGAGGGCCCAAGCGCATCTGGCGCAGTCGGTAGCCCCGACGGTAGCAAACAGCATAAAGGTCCACCAAGAGGCGCAGTCGTCCATCTCACTCTGGTACATATTAATCGCCTCCACGAAGGATTGCCTCTTAACTGAATGCACGCAATGGGCGTTGCAAACACGTGGAGACACCTCTTCTTGCGCAGAGCTTTGGCTTCTAACTCACATGCTGCGTATTGCGATCTGAGTCGCGAGACGTTCAAGCAGACGAGCTCGTCACCATCTGCGTCAAGGTGGAGGAAGAAGCTGTGGGCGACCTCACACAGGTTGAGACACTCCGACGTCCATGCGTCCGTCAGCTCAACGCCGCACGGATGAATAAACTGAGGACACAGGCGACAACATGGCTCTAATGCAGCCATGCATCCTCCAGGCTTACTTCCGTGGGGTGTGAAGGGTCGCGAAAGAAAGTCCCAAAGCAGATCGGATTGGCGTGGAGCAGAAGGCAGTCGAGGTCGTCTCGAAGCTTGACGACGCTGTGGGGGATGCTGCTGATGTCGTTGACGCGCAGGTCGATCACTCTGACCGCCGGAAGGTCCTCTATCCATTCAGGAAGTTGAGAAATGCGGCTGAATCCCAGAAACACGAACCTACGTTTGCACACGAACGAAGAGAGAGAGAGAGACATAGACGGAACATATTCCCCATCCACACCAAAACCCCTACTCGAGATTCTGTAGCTTCCGCAGCCCTTCAGGCACCTCCTGCAGGCAAGACCGAGACACACCGATAAGCGCACACACACTAAGAAGCGATTGTTGCATCCCACCTCATCACCTGTAGTTCAGATCGGCCGCCCATGAGATATCGCAGGTGCGTCTGTCTCTCTGAGCATCTTGATGGGGAATCGGGGAAGGATTGTGAAATTCCCCGCGGAATCGCCCAGGTATGTCACGTTATAATCGTCCGTGCAAATTTCCACCTTGCTGGAACGGTCTGTGCCGTTCCGAAAGTTGCACGGTGGAATTATAGGACGGACGACCGGCTTGATCTCGGGGCAAAAGGCCACAAGCATATCCTCGTTACCCCAGTGACGCGTACATATAGATTAACTTTTTCGAGGAGACATCCGAGTGTTTCCTTCGCAGTGCAGCCCGTGTATGACAGGTGGCATTATGACGAGTACTGGGTGGGTGAGTACATGTAGCAGGCCAGGTGGGCGAGTAAATAGATTAAGGTGTGGGTATATACGGAGGCGCAACGTGTATCTGCAGACTGGTCTGTGTTGGCATTTTCTTGTCCTGTCATCCTTCGTACTGCTTGATAGTGCGGACAGTCGTGCCAACGAGAGACATTGCATATGTGTTCGCGTGACATGAACAGACTCAAATACTTGTGCACTTGAGACATGGAAATCAGTCGGCTCGATGGTCCGGGGATGCGCCAGTCCCAGCGTTCGCAAATACATCCATCGAGCCGAAGCCAATCCCCTAGAGATGAGAGAGACATCGGGATGCCGCGCTGTTGACACCGAAGAACCCTGGTGGGTACCTCGAGAGTGGAGAAGAAATTCAATGGCATGATTGAGCCTGTCCGCTGAGGGTTCCGACGGCTCCTTGGCGTCCAAGTAGACACAGTTGCACGGCAGCTGGAGGGTGAACAAGGGACCCAATAAAGGCCATGTCTGATAGGGCATCGCACAGCGCGCACACAGACATGGCCTGGTTGAGAGAGAGACTTTATTTTGCTGTGGCTCTTTCACCTTCAGTACGCACATGTCCCATCCCTTGATGTTGCGTTCGTAACAGTAGTAGGACCCCCGCGCCCGCTGCACCGTCTCAAACACAAAATACCCGAGCGCCAGAGCCAGCAGGAGCACCATGAACGGCAGCAAAATGTATTCCACCAGCTGGACAAGACTCCTCCGCCTGAAGGTCTGAACGACGCTCTCCTGCACCTTTTCGACGCCTGAGAAGCCCCACATAGGGAAGGTTGACCTTTTTGCTGCGTGTGCTCTTCCAATGTCGGCATACCTTTTGCATCTGCCGGAAAGAAAGTGACGTTACCTCGGTTTCTGGCGGGCGAGGTGGGCACGTGTGACGGTGTCGCTGTGGATGTCATCGAGATGGCATCAGGCTGACTGGTAGATGGCTGGCTGTCTGCCCGAATGCTCCGCGCCCTGCAGCTGGCGGCCGCGTGGGCACTGTCACCGTGTCTCATGGACAGCGCTATCGCCTCTGATTCGGTCTCTTCCAGGAAGTCCTCTACATTCACAATCGCGCCCAGCTGGTCACCAATGCGCATGTGCTGCATAGGCACACCACAGCCAAAGGCACAAGAGAAATGCTTATCTCTCTCTACGTCTTCTCTGCGCCTCTTTTGCCTGTACGCACCGACGCGATAGACTTTCGTGAAGCCATGGCCATGGACGGCACACGTATGGGGTTCAGCTTCAAAAACAAGCCCTTCGGAGTCGCCCTCGCCGTCGACACTGGCTGTGAAGCCTTGGTCTCTCCACCGCTCCCCGCGGGAGAGCTCGGCGGGGCCACACTGGACCTCATCTGCGGCAAAGAAATGACGACGGCCGGCCGGATGCCGCCTGGGGTAGAAGCGGGGCTGACACGCGTCTGAGGGGTGCCCTTGCGAAACGTGGCTGGTGAGCTCGCCCCAGACGACAGGCGTTCCTCCTGTACGTTGACCCTCAAGAGTCTCGGAGGCTTGTCTCCTGGGTGTGGTGGCGCAGGTGTGGAAGCTGGCAGGGTTTGGGAGTGATGATGGATGGGGGATATGATGCCCCCAACGGACCACCGCTTCGGCACATCCGGCCCATGGACGCGGCATCGCTTGCATCAATATCCGCGCCGGTCGGCGACCAAACCGACGAAGGGGTATCCCCTGGTGTCGTAAGACTGATTTGAGGGAGCGCGTCTGAGGGATTCCTGCCGGCACCGGATGCCTTGACCGACTGTCTTCGCCGCAGTCCCCTCGTGGATTGGGGGATGCCTTCACGTGGGATGCCTTTATTGGCGGGGGTTCCATCGACTGTCGACAGCGGGCTGACCGGTGACCTCTCGGCTGGTAGACTAGCGATGGGGCTTCTGCCAGGAGTCCAGGACCTGGATCGTGTGCCAAAGCCACTTGTAGGCCGTCTGGAGTACACGCGGCAACTCGTGATGGCCTCGTCGACGTCGTCCAGGACCTTCTTCCACAGAAGAAAACCCTGCCAATACAATAGAGATACAAGTTGCAGCAAGCCATCTGTTGCGTCTCTGTCGGTCTCTTCGCCTCATCACCTTGCATAGCAGCAACCCGTTCAGTGTCCTCAGCTCATGCAGGGCAAGGCACACTGGTACGAAGGTCGCCACGAAGTGGATCGGGCCACGAGAGTGCAGGTTGGCGAGCGCCCCGATGTGGACTGCGGCGTGGAACGAGTACATGAAGCCGAAAGAGAAGCTGCCGATCGTCGCGTAGCCCCGCTTTCGCCGGAGGAGCATGACCACGCACATGAGGGCGTGCATTAGGATGATGAAGGTGAGGGAGATGCGGATGTATGCGAGGCCTGCGGGGATCTCCTTCCCGGTTGTGGGGTGGATGCCGTCCATAAGGAGAGAGCGGTAGGTCTGGAGGAGCATCTCGAGAGTCTCCTCGCCACACATCAGAATCCAGTACAGCTTCCTGTATGTGAAGGGGACACAAAGGTAATAGTTGCATTGAGACATGAAGAAGTTGTAACCTCTACCCATTGATGCCGGAGTAGCGGAACCTGGAAAGCGCAAGATAGAGAAGAACAAGACGAGTCTTGAATGTGCTCTCACCAAATCAGGAAAATTCGCATTTGTGTGTGGCTGAGCCACACGCGGAACGCCTTGGTGAAGGTGACGGACTCCTCGGTGGTCGACGAATCTCCATCCTCCTCAGACCAGCGTTGAGTGACGATCTTGCTGTTCTTGAGACTCAGCGCCACCGACGTGTGACTCAGTTTGTCATCGCACTCGAATGACTTCAAATATCGCCGCCATCGCTTCTGCTTCCACGCTGATACCGTCGATCGCCACCAAATGGTGTGGTTGAGGAAGATCCAGATCGCGACAACGGCGTACGACAGCCAAAAAAGCCGTGTAGATCCACGACGGTGTGTTGTCGTGGACAATACGGATATGGGTTGTCTGCAAATCGGCCTCGACGAACTTAGATATCGACAAGAAGCGAGGAAGGCACTCGCCATCGTAGAAGACTAATCGAAAAAGGGCACACAGAGAATCATGCATGCGCTCGTTGGAGAATCTTCCCTCTCTCTTTCTTTCACTTGGCGGAATCTTTTCAAGCCGCTCTGCTCCAGCATTCAGCAAGCCAATCCCAATAAGCAGCAGCATGAACACTATGATATGGACCAGCAACACAATGATATGGATGAACATGAAAAAGGTGGTCGTCATGGTGCCTTTTGAGGCTCTTACGTACCCATTGTCACCAGATTGACGACGGTCGTGACCTGCCTGAAACGAGCGGCCTCCAAGGTGGGGTCCGTTCCATGGACCCTGACCTTGAAAGGCCCCTCGAAGAAAGCTCCCTTGCTCCTCTCGGAGCGGGCGGACGTGTGTGTTGCCTTTGCCGTCCAACGACGTTGACTTGCTGGCCGTGTCTGTGCTGCCGAGTCCATCACCGAACGTGGCCGTGACATTGATGTGTCCGTGGCTGCCGCGGCGCCTCACATGCTGATCGGCCGTATCAGTCAAATCATTGAGATGCTCCTCGAAAGCTGCGCAATCATTCCATGACATTTGTTCTGAAGCGAGGAGAGATGAATCGTCACTCACCCGTTTGTATTCGCGCGTTCATGAGGTCATCCGATGAGAACACCTGGGCAAGACCTGCCCGCGGCCGTGTTCGCCCCGCAGAGGGAGGCATGTCCACCGTGCTTGATCTCTTCGTCGAAGACATGGTTGTTTTCTACTACAACCGCTTTGTCTCCCGGCCCGTCTGAAGCTCTTCTTCGCACGTCAGGAAGATCCCGAGAAAGTCGCCTTCATCAAGGACTCGCACCGCATCTTCCACATCCAGTGGAAGGCGACTCATATACGCCACACAGCAGCAGGGCCCGCGCCGCAAATACCACTGCAGAAAGGCTGGACAGTGGTCTCATTTCCACATGGGCTTGCGTGAGCCTGCCGTGCGTTTGAGACGGGGGGCGGGTGGTAACGTCGTTCTTTCTCGCCTCGTCTCGACCAGCAACTGTCCCTCCACTCCCCATCCATGAGCTCACAGAAGAAGCAGCAGGTGCCGCGCCAGAAGGGCATGTCATTGAAGGACTACGAGGCCGGAAAGGTACGGCTCGTGAGGGAGGACTCCGTGCAGATCTACCGTGTTTGTGTGTCTGTGTGGTCCAGGAGGTTTTGAAGGAGGTCAAGGGCGGCAAGCGGCGCAAAGAGCCCCGGTTCATCGACCTGGAGGGCATCATCCACCCCGACGTGTATGAGATCCACATAGGTGGATTCGGACCTCAAGACATGGCCAGCCACAAGAAACCCATGGACGTAAGAAGCCCAGGCAGGTCATGTGTATGCATGTGTGTCTGATGGATGGGTATCGCAGGAGGTGGTGTACCCGTATGAGAGCATCATCTTCACCAACGCCAACGACATGGACAAAGGTAGGTGACCCATCCACACCGCCATCCGTACGCCAGTGTGGTGTGCACCGCGTGTTGACCCTCGCCATCAAGGCTAAAACCCCGGTGTGTGTGGTGTGGCACACCCCCCCACCCGAGAACACAAGGAGGATACACGTAGAGGATGGTTGATGTATTCTGTGTGTGTGTATGTGCAGTCGAAGGGCATCACTCGGGGCGAGATTATGGCGGAGATGCACGCCTTCGAGGGCGGGGAGATGTGCTCAGCCGGGGGGGAGGACGCTTAAATGTGAGCCGCACCCACACAGACACGGACGAGTTCGACGACCGATGGATGGATGGATGGATAGATGTGTGTGTCAGGTACATCGATAGGGCCATCAAGGACGCGTGCGGCCGATACCGGCTCCACTACGTGCGCTGACAACCGCCAAGCCAACCACTTGGGCCGTACCCGTGTACATCTTACAGTGGTAGGGCGTGAGGAGGGCGTGGTCGCGGCTGGTAGATGAATTGGTAGGTAGGTAGGTCTTCCTGTGTAGTTAGTTGATGAGTAGAGAGCGCCGCCTTCCTTCGTCGTGTGTAGCGAAACCGAGTCTGTGTCAGTCTAGCCGGAAGTATGCAACCCTCTCGCAATGATGCATCGACGGGCGGTGGGGTTGCTGGCTTGGCTTCCTCTGTGCCCGCGTGTGGGAGCGTTGTGAGCGTTCCTGCCCCTTTTGAGTGTAGTGAGGTCATGCCGTCGTTCGCTCGTTGACCAATGAGCGTGTGTCTGCGTGGCCTGGTGGCGCTCGACGGAGGGGAAAGCGGCGACACCAAACAAGACAGGCAGCCAAGAAAGGGTTGTGAGGCTGTGAGTATACGGGAGTGATGTGTGTGTCATTGCCTTGTCCTTCCTTGCACCGGGGAAGGTTGTGCTGTCGTTGGCTCATTGGCGAACGAGTGTGTGTCTGCGTGGCCTGATCGAGTGTGGAGGAGGGGAAAGCGGCGACACCGAAACGGCACGGGGAGACAAGAAAGGGTGTGGGGGCTGCTGTCAGTAGAGGTGTCACTTTCTGTGTGTACAGTGGCGGTGTTGTTGTTGTGGTGTGCGCCTTTACGTTTCTTTTTTTCTCTCTGCTCATCAAGCCAGTGAGCCAACGATGGCGTGGCGTGCTCGAGAGCGAGGGAACGTAGCGGGGCGACACACCCTTTCATGATATGATGCACGTGTGCACATACGTACACATCATGCATTGGTGCGGGTTGGGTGAGTCATATTAGACATTCTTCATCGCACACGTCTGATACAGGAGATAATCAATACATCCATTCATTTTGAGTGATTGACACTGGTTGTCCTCGCTGGCAGTTTCACACAAAGCCACCTCGATAGGTGGGCAGTTGAGACGAATCGTATGCCAGCAATGTACCACACTCACACATCCAGTCGGTCCATTCAGTCTATCATGCATACCGACAACGGCACGATGCCAGCGAAGCGACAGCTACCAACCACCTATCCTACCTTCTTACGAACGGAGCCGCAGTGCCAAAGTGCGGCTGCTGTTGCTGTTGCTGCGTCTGAGGCGTGAGAAATGCAGCGCCCGCAGCACCGCCAGGCAGACCGCCGGCGGTTGTGGCACCGAAGAGACCCGCAGTCTGCTGCTGGCCAGACTGGGCACCGAAGATACCGCCCCTGGCAGGCTGCGACGCGCCAAACAAGCTGGTGGTGGCTCCCTGACTCGACGCACCGAAAAGCCCTCCCCCGGGCCCCTGCGGCGCACTGAAGAGGGATGCCCCCAGGCCTCCCGTCTGCTGAGGGCTGGTGAAGAGCGGCGAAGCGGCGGCTTGGGGCTGCGGCTGGCCGAACAGCAGGCTCGATCCAGCACCGGCGAGAGGCCCGAGCAGCGTGGCTTGGATACCAGCCTGCCGTGCGGCGGCATGTGGGAGGTCCAGTGGGGGGCCGGATACAGCGTGGGGCGCCTTCTTGGCCAGGAGGTCGGCCACCTGGGGGTTGCGGGCGGCCACAGCCTTAAGGCCGTCGACCTGCTTGGACAGTCGCGAGAGGGTGACGGCGAGGTGCTTGTAGTTGTAGTGCTGTGCGCGGAAGATTTTCTCGATACGTGAGAGGTGGAGGGACAGCCAGGTGCCCTGGGTCGCCTGGGCGTCCTGCTGCATCATCTGGATGGCCTCGTCGACCTCCTTGAGGCGCATCTTGAGTTGCCACAGCTGTCGCCCTAGCCGCACATACAGGTCCTGGAAGTACTGCGACGGCAGAGTCACACTACCCGAGGGCGCCTCGCCTTCGGACGGCGCCACACGCTGCGCCAGCCTGAGGAAGTCATTGAACTTGCCTTCCAGCTCAGTCGCCTCTTCGTTCCACTTCTCGAGTGTCATCTCGGTCGTCCGCATTCGGGCGTCGGTATTCTGCTGGTCCTCGGCCAGACGCAGAGCCCTCTTCTCCAGGCTGTCCCGTGAATCACGCACCGACTTGCGCAGCTCCTTGATGCGTACGAGCCGGCGGTCATCCTCATCTATCTTGGACGCTATGGCCTCAAACTGTCGCTTCCCCTGATGATCGGAAACCACACATCAATAAGCGGCTCTTCCGTGTGGTTCAGGCAACCATACGCAACCATATAAAGCGTGCCCACACTTACGTCGGGCGAGATCCGTGAGAGAAACATAGGGGATACAAAGCAGATACCGTCTAGTAGTTGGCGTCACCACCTGCTGTAGTTGGCGTCACTAGTAGCCAGTGGCGTCACACCTAGACCAGCTGTCGTCAGCAGGTCCGTGAACACGGACGGAACAAACACGAACGTAGCATCTGCTCTAACTCAGAGTGTTGGCGATGTGGAAACTGTCATTAACCGTAACACTCGTCTGTGTGTCCGTGATACTCATACAAATACAGTCCCATCAGCACGCAGA